ATCTTCAAACGTCGAGCCAGTAAGGGAGGTCGACCCTTTTCTTCGTAGTATTGTCTCAGAGTTCGAACGAGAAACACATCGGGTCAGTACGTGAGGCGAGGTGCAACAACGGTCTTAGCCTAAAGGACGTTCTTCCAGTTAGCGCAGTGGTTCTTGTCGACAACGCGTTAATTGTAATGGCTGTCACACAAATTCCTTCCAATACTACACTATAGCAACAGCTCTCTCCTTAGGGTAGCCCATTACCATAGCACTACTTACTCTTCCTAACTGTATTGAAAAAAATCATTACAACCATTGATAAGAAAATCGAAATACCTAACAAAATTTCTGCGCAGTAACAATCATAAAATACATTAATAATAGTAGTAGTAAACGAAACGTACAATGTCCCCCAGCCCTAGCATGGTGAATCGTGTGGCATCATGATAGCTCGGGAAGACAAGTTTGGCAGGGAGCGACAGTTTCGGCGACTGTCTCATGACGCCCGTCAAATGCAACTTGCGTGCCACGGTGTGAATCTGTTAACAGCGAATGTACACTCTGTTTCTTTCGGGTGATCATGCTGGCACGAGGGCCATCGTACATACCGGATTTTCAGCGGGCTTTGAAGCAACATGAAGCATGACGTTCGTGTTGAAAATATACGACGAAAAAAATACCTACAACAGCTAAATCGGTCAAAGTTGAACGAAACTATTTTTTGACAGTAATACGATTGGCGAACGTACAAGTATACCCGCATCTGTCACCTTCAAAGTCGAAACGACCACAAAAGAAATATTAAATAATAACATTTTACATTGTTATTTACGTTCTTAAACATATGATACAAGACGTTATAAATTACGTTATTGATTAACACAGTAATTACCAAAGGCGGCTGCGTCCGACCACCTGTGAGTAATTAAAACTATGGCATACTTGCAGTAGAATGAACGATGTTCGACTGTGTACTATAAGCATAAACGTTTGCGGCGTATTAACGTTCAGAATGATGCACAAAGAAAGTCTGCCAAAGACTCGTCAACAGCCGTAGTATATATACACCCATATAGCCGTGCAGTTTATCACCGACTTATCTTGGTTCGTCTGCCTAGTACCCAGTTGTTGCATTTGCCCTTTGATACTAAATTCTCTGTTAGGATACCTCAGCTATCCTCTAAGATCACTGGGTGGGATATTACCCGTCCGCACTTATCGTCCTGACAACAAATTTCATTATACAACCAAAACTCATAAGATGACGCGGAAATTAAAAACAAGTAAATTAATGCAAATGATGGGAGGAAACAAGACACTTGGAAAAAATCCATTTTCGATTATATTAAAAGTCTGACGGCACCGCTGGATTTCTGATTTAAAGAAAGATAAAAAAAGCAAACGTGGTCATGTACAAAACCAAATGCAATGACAGACAGTTCATCCAAATTAGTAAAAGCAAGAAAAGATTTGACAGACAAATCAACCTGCCAGCAGTGGCAAGTGCCAAGGTGGGTCACACCCTGACATGGCATCACATACTTTCTACTTGAAACATTTTCTTTAACCGTACGGATATGTCTGGATATGACAGAGACTAGCAGATCAGTAACTGTTGCACATGTTGATTACAGCAGATAACCTAAGTATGAGCTGGTACAAAACAAATGACAGCTGAAATGTCATCAACTGACTCATTTGGAAATATGATTCAAGCCAACTGATGCTGCCATTCGAAAAATGTCCCTGATTAGACTTTTTGACGCTGGTATGCAGCGTCGAAACTTTGTTCATCAATAGGATGTACACTGTTCAGCAGCAGAAAGTCCCTTCCCAACATTCAATTTAATGGTGTTACTTTAATTAGCGTTAAAACCACACATTTAGATACTCACATGCATTAATTTTCTATTCATCAATGCATTTCCATTTCATCATTGTACATGTCATGCCTCATCATTTGAAAAACAGCACGAAACACTGATTATCAATATGGTCAATTATTTTTAAAACTAGGGGGTTGGCATAAATTTTTAGACGTTTTCCTCTTCGTACGCAGTGGTTAGTAGGCTTGGCGCCAAAAATCTACCAATAGCTCTGTACAACGAGGAAAACCTCTGAAACTTTATACCAACTTCCTACTTGCAGAAGAATCGCGAGACACTGTCGAGACACCTGACTAATCATGTTATTTTTCGCATTAATAAACCGCGTCATGCTGCTTTCCAGGATGATTACAAGAACAAAATCCTGTTTCATCATTGTGTATTTTGTTTATTACTGTGTATTTTATGTATACGGTTATTCCAAAGAGTGATTACTTAAATGCTAACAAGTGCTAGTTTTATTTAACATTACTGTTAATTTAAGCAGCACTTTTTCATTGATGGATTGAAAAAAACGTTTCAGCTTCTAAGAGTTCCATCACCTGTATCCAGGTTTAAAACCGTTTCTTCTGCTAATTTATACCCATATGGTCCTGTTAGCGCTGATCGTCTTGGTTTGTTTGCATTGAACCGTAAATCGAAGAATTGACAGGAACAATCATTCTCAGGGGCAACGAATGGAGATCTTTTTTGTAATTTCGAAATAACTTTGAATTACTCACTGCCGTTCCCTGAGGTAACTCTAAATTCAAAAAATATGTTCGCTTAAACACGAAGACATGCTTACGTCAGGTAGAAACTGGCTTCTTTGCGGGAGGAACGACTTTCTTTGACTCAGTAAAACAGCTATTAGAGGACGAAAAGAACAACGCGTTACAGCTGCCAGCTGCTGGTAGCCGTAAAACTAAACATAAGTCATCACCTATAGGGAAGCAACCTTGAAGCCGCCCTTTAGAGATGGTCAGAGGAAAGGAAAAACGAAAGTATGTAATCCTTGGGAAACCTACCTCTCTCCCTCTTTCATGCTAGGTCAAATGATAGCAACTTTATTTCATCCACAGTTAGTTTATGGTAGAGTTATCATATCCGTTTCGATGTCATATGCCATCATCTAGAAAACATATATGCCTTTGAAGACAAATTATAGCAAGTAGGCTAGAATAGGCGAACAGTATCTTCTAACTTAGTCACACTCGTTTATTACTTCAAAAGATAGAAAGACCAACGAGTAAAAAAGAATCAGAAATCTGAGCCACGTGATCATTCGTGTTTCTGTCACCTGAGCTACGTCCCGATCTAAACTCGTAGTCTTACATTTACTGGTTTTGTCAAGAACTTCTTAATTTATAAGTTGTTGAAATGACTAGTTTTCAATACCTCTTTTAAAGCGAGGACGAAGGGTTTCAGGCTACAGATGATTACGCTCATTGTGCAGATTTAACAATTTAAACGAACAAACCGAGTCAATTCGATTCAGTAACTTTGACGCTGAGAAGCACACCTCTTCATCTGATGCAAAGATCTTTCAACACTGTCAAACTGTCAGATTCATAGAGTGAAAAAAACATAGACAGTCTGTGGTCAACTCAAAGTTGCCACACGCATGATACTGAGCAACAAGTAACAAAGGTGCAAAAAGCTAGACTTACAAAACCCACAGAAGTGACTTTCAAAGCTCTCCAATGGCTTTAAAACCGATTTATAACTTCTAAGATTCATACCGATACCGTACCATGGATGTCTTGAAGCTAACAGGACCTCTGATTGTATAACTGGACCCTGATAATGATCGATGTCGACTCGGAAGAAACGTTGGAATAGTCTTCAGAAATTTTTTTATTTTCCTGCTGTTAACCATGGAATTAGAAGACTTGTTAACTTCAACTGTAAAACTAAGACCTTTACACCTGAAGTCAAAGTAGCTCAACGTAAACTGCAATTTCCTTACCCAGAAAAGGTCGTAAACCAAAAGTCCGCAAAGCAGAAGCGTCGACACTTTCAAACTGGGCAGTTTCACCAGGGCAATGAATGACACACACAAACCCATTCCTAAGGCTAGAACGAAAAAAGAACATGCATTGTTCATCTTCAGTCATCGCAAAAAACTTAATCTTAAACGTGTGGTTCAAGCCTACCGTCCATGAGCAGCCAGTGGTCAGTCAAAATCCATAAAAACACCAATACCATCGAGATGCACAGAGAGAGAATCTCAGCCCCCGTGTACCTCCCGAGCTTGCCGAATGAGATCCTGAATGAACAAAGAGGCCACTGAAAATTAAAATGCAAACGTAAACCATACTTGCGCGCATCGCAGCATGGTTTGGAAATGAATTGGCTCGCCGGCAGAAGTAGATATGAAAGCGTCACCGTGGCAACAACTAAAAAAAATCCAACCAGTCAATGAAAACAGTAACAGTGAACAATGTCTAAGGAACCGAATCAATAAGTACTGGTTAACGACAATCTAACGAAAGCTTAAATGACTTATGTTTGTGCTCTTCAGTCGTTCATAACTTACCCATTTAACATAACTCCTGCTTGTGTCACGTCCAGACATCTGTGTCATAATGAAATGCCGGCTTTATGCCGTTTGCCCAGAGAACGACGTTGCACTTATCAAATCTTGCACTGAAAAAATATGCAAAAGTAACCTCCCCCCTCACAACTGGGGATAGCATAATAAGGGTGATTCATTTTTGTACGCTCAATAAACACACCTACTGTCTCGCCGGTCAACGGACATGAAGTAATTTCTATTTTTTGCCAAATTGTTAGGAATAACTGCTGGAAACTTTCCTGGTTAAAACACTTGTAACACGGTATATACCAAGAATGCAGTGTCATGAGTAGCATAAGTCTAGCAGAGCAAAACTAATATGGAAAAAGTATGATCGTCATGAAAGTGAAGAATACCGTCAAGGCGTCTGCCCATTACAATGGCGGAAAGTTACTCAAATATCATAGTTCCGTTCAAATGACCCATAAGTAATTAGGACTAAAAAGAGTTCTGCATACTCTGTACAACCTGGTTTCAGAATGAGTTCAACCAACAGAGAATTCCGTAATACAGCATTTAATGGCATGCATTTCTGTTACTGCATGACATGGTCTGCACTTCATGACGATACTACACAAAATCATTTCTCAGTATGGTATCTTATGCAAGAGTAAATTATACAATATTGCAAGTTAGTGCAGCAGAGCACAAAAATGCAGAGAAGCTCTACAGGAAACCACACTGGGATATGTTTCTACGTAGCAGCGTAATGGAGTACAGCATGGAGTCGATACCTCATGAGGGACAGTACCACATATTGTATTACATTCCAAAGGCATTACTAATATAAAATATAAAAACATCGTGTACCACGTTGCGCTTACCTGTCACACAGTATAGTAGCACAGCAGGATATCCTGAGCATACCACGCTACATTTCAGTACACTGTACATATGGTATGCTACACTGCCGTAGCCACTATGTAATATTATGGCAGAGCATGATACACGACAAAGTGTACCATATCAAAACTTTTATTTGCATACCGTACTGACATATACTCACAGCATGCAAGCATGCATACTAAACTACTACATTACACTGTAGCATAGTACGGCTGCCGTATCGACTATACCATCCTATACGATGCCATTCTACGCCAAGATATACAGTAGTTTAATAGTAAGAGCAAACGCATGACATTGCTGGCACGAGATTATTTCTTTCAGGAACCAAATCACGGAAGTCGCTGCCTCACTGATCAACACCGAATGCGGAAAGATACTTTTCAGACATACCGGGAATCGCTTAGAAATATTTTCTTTGCGGAAGCAGTGATAAGGGTACAGAATCACAGCTGCTGAATAGAACCGAAATGACGACGACACACAAACGCCTGCAGGGGCACATAGTATTTTAGCGCAAAGTAGCATTCAGTGTTATGCTGCAGTAAAGTATATAGTAGAATAAATTACTGATCTATTCAGCATATTATATTATTATACCGTGTCGGAGAGCTGCGCAGGTAGACTGACCGTGACATCGTTTGCCGATTCACAAGGAAACACGTTAAGACAAGCCTTGACATCGTATACACCCTTACTAGCGTTGCAGAATGCCTGAAGAAAGACCGTTCCACGCCGACCTACATGCGGTTCTTGGTTCTTTTCCGCAAAATCAACCATCTATTGTTGCCAGAGACCTCAACGCCCATATCCGCTCCGATCGTGTGTGAAAGCCCTGTGTACCAAGTCGACACGGCAGCCCTGTTGCCAATAACAACGGCCACCGCTTGTTAGATCTTTACGCCATGCATAGCGCTCGTCATTGGCGGGACACCGCGTCAGTAAAGTAGCATCCATCGGCAGACGTAAACGGCGCCAAAAGGTAACTTCAGATGCCATATCGATCATCTGTTCATCAGTGACAATTAACGAAGTGCCAACCATGACATTCGGGCGAAACTAGCAGTGGATATCGCAAATGACCATTTGGTAGTGTAGTTGACACCAGCTACGCCTCTGCACGGCAACAACAGGAGGAGGTAGGAACGCCCTCACTTGCAAGACGTGCCGGATGAAAATGAGCAGCAAAATTGTTGATACGGATGGTCATCATCTACCAAGATCCGAAGCTGCTTTATAACCGCCTTAAAGAAGGTATCACCGACGCCCGCTGCAAAAGCTACTGGCTTCAACGCCAGGAAGACGAAGGAGCCCTGGGTCAAGATACAGTGGGCAAGACCTGGATACCTGGATGTCAACTACGCTTCACAATCTATAGAAGAAATGTGAGAAACGATGCGTCTCTGCAGAAGGTAAAAGTTTTGCGAGCACGAGTGGACATGAACGGAGATTCTAAAGTGCGCCGGCGAAAATCTTGGGTCCACCTGGTTTTTGGTACCACCTGACGGAATTTGGTGTTTTCCGAAGATCGGAGAAAGACGTGATCATCCAGATTTTCAAATCTAGGAGTGGTGCCGATAATAACTATCGAGGAATCATTATTCTGCTTGTGCTGGAGGTTTCTGAGCAGATAATCTTTGGAAAGTATAAGGCCATAGGTGATTCAATGCAAGCAAATAAAATAGTCTTGTGGAGCTGACGTTCGTGAACAGAAAAATTCTGTGCTGCAAAGAATAATCGAGCCGTGCAGGAGCTTTCAACGGCCCTTGCACACGACTTTTCTTGACTTTTGTATAGTTTTCGACCCAGCTAATCACCGGACAACGGGACGCGTCATTCGACATAATGAATCCAACAGGTTATGGTAATCCTGGTGGTCGGTACAGAAGGACGAAATGCAGAAACCATAACTGAAGGACCAATGTCAGACTGATTCAATATCACCAATGGAATTCGTCAAGATCAGGAGCTCTCTACTTTGCCGTCTAACATTATGGTAGACTACGTCATGCAGAAAAGCGTTATAACAAGGGGATGACCGCAGTCAGCGACGCAGCTCAACATATCCGGCAACAAACCTTGAGTAGGTCGATGACTTCGTGCTGCTGACTCCGTAAGTAGTTCAGTAACACTCATCGAAAGGGGTGCAACACTTCTGTAGGTATGGGGCAACAAGCCAACGCCAAAAAGGCGAAGTTTATGACGACGTCCACTGTGACCGTCAATCAGAGGATACAATGCAATTGAGTTTGATGGACTAGGTGGGCAATTTCAATACGTCGAAACTACGTTGACTGACGATGACGACCTTGATCAGGAAGTGTATCGGCGTACAGGATTAGCACCGGCGAATTATGGCAAGTCCTATAACTTAAAGAAGGATCAGACTATAAGAACGGACAAGAAGATCGCCATTCTGAATGCAGCCGTATTCGCGGTGTTTACGAGTATTCTCGAAACATCTTCCGCCCTGAGATAAAATGAAGCTCGCTGAGACAGCTTCGAACAACTCTGTCTGCACACAAAGTATGAGGGTACCACCGGAGAATGAATGTCTTGACGCTGAGGACTACAGATCGGAGAAAACGGCGAAAAATTAAAACACATTCAAAACACTTCTCTCTTTGGAACCGTGCAACCCGCAGACGCGTGAGAAAGCAATACAAAACGTGAAGACATCTCGTGAGGCAGGCCGGTTTGCGAAGAGGTCTAAATACGACTCTGATTCAGCAGGAGTGAACGCTGCCTAATATCAGTCAAAGTACCATTTTTAACGGACAGACATTATAAATCCAGGTAGATCCGCTGCTTAAGCTCTGATAACCTCAGATGACGATGACAACACAACAACAAGAATGCTAGGTTTAGCATATTAAAATATAATTTAGTAAGACACGATTCAATAGAATATCTAATCCAGGATACGACATATCTTGGTTACAATGCCATACAATTGACTTTGAAATCACCGTCAATATAGTGTACTCTGTCCTTCTACATAATATAGTACTATGCGATGCCATTGCACTGAATGGCATATATTATACTGTGTATTATTTTTGCACAGCAGACTACGCGGGTCTATATTACAGCATGATATTACATAAAATAAAACAACGCAATAAGCATGCCTCTATACTGCTGGTCTTAAAATACGACGCATCCCTGTGGTAGCAGAAACGGCGCGCTTTCTAGATATCTAGGAATAAGAGGCAGTTTCTTAATGCCGTAAAATTCAGTTGGGTGAAATTGTGCTCACATGGTGTTGTCGCGGTTACATTAAAGCAAACAGTGATTGTGATGTGACATCCTGTGGCACGTGACACCCTTACGATTGTATACTATAAAGAAAACTGAACTTACCTGTAGTAAACAGGGTGAAAAAAATTTGTAATGAGTCGAAGAGAAAAAAAGAAGCCAACAAAAACAAGCTGCCAAAAACGGGAAACAGCAGGGCCTGCCTGCTGGTCATTACCTGTTCATCTGAAAAATAATGGGTGTTGCTTTGCGAAAGAAAACCGATAAACGCTTACCAAGTTGGACACTTACCGATTTGCTTTTCATCCTTGTCACTTGACGGCTCGCTTGAATTCAGTGACCTTAAATATGGCGGTGCTTTAGAAGAGAGAAAAACAATTTCGATCGAAACACCTCATTATTAAAGAAAAATCCGTCTAAAACAGAAAGAATTTTCTCATTCAATGGCTACTGGCATACGAAGAAGATACGATAATAAAAAAAAACTTCTTCAAAAGCAGAGTTTTGAGCAACAATTTCGAAATGAATAGCCATGAGCATAAAAAAACAAGTAATTCTCTTTAGAATTAATATTACAATTAAAAAGTTTACAGTGAACGAAATCAGCAACATGAATTAAAGAAGGCCATGTATCCAACTGCATGTTTCAGACAAAATAGACGAATCGAGGCAGCTGTAACGTCCTATATTGGTTGTGAAGGTACACGGAGTGATTCATGAGGCAACTTGATACTGTATGAACCTCTATGCACTAATTTGCTCTAGCAGACTTGCTTCCCGCACAGCTGGAGGTTTGTACGGTTGCTCAATGCCACGGACATTTAGGACGTAAAATTCTAGGAATGGGTGTTAGTTGCCGTTCGGTTGTACAGTTATGAAACAGAAGCGTAGGACTCCTTATAGATTCATGAAGCATTCATTTTGCATTTTGCTCGATACGCTATGACACAAGCAGATTATGGACGAAGCAAAGTAAAAAATCAATGCAAAGGGAGAAAGGTATTCAATCTGCAATTAAAACTTGATGCACGACCCCTTAAATAATGGAGAAGCTGTATACTGGCGTTAACATTATACGGATTTTCCAGTAGTACGCTCGAGTAGCTACTAGAATATGAATCAACCATTCTGATAATTTTCATCAATTTTCAAAATTTTTAGTGGCGGTTGCAGTTGGTTAGCAACGTACTGTCTGGTGTCCGTTTAGCTCAGGCTTTGTAACTTTGTCGACCAACGATAGACTTTCAAATGGACGGACTGCTAGAGTCACTAATCTAGAAAATTCTCCAATTACATCGTGTGAAATCTCTAACAGAAGCTGAAGCCAAAACTTCATGAGTAGGCTCCTGAGACATTAACGCGCGTTCCTTGACAACGCTACCAACTATGACTGCATCTGCTGCGGTGCTATTACAAGCATGGTTACGCTTCCTGTATGAGAAAATAACGCGTTCATTTGATGTGTGCAATTGGGAAAGACATCTGGTCTACCGGCCGAATTCGTATTTGTACTTATAGTCTCCTCTTCCATCGTTGCCTTTTATGAACAACTTCTACACGCGGAGTAACTTTGGTTTGACCTTCGTAATTTGAACCAACTGCAGGGACATTTCCTGACAACCTTCGACTCGAATGACATAAGGTTACTAGAACAGTTGTGTTCTCGACCAACTACGCAGTGTGCAAAAAAGGTCTAGTTAGATGCATCCTTAACACGTGACTTGCAAAGAAGCACTTGAGAAGAAACAAATCTGTCTTAACTCTGAGGGAGACCACCTCAACAGCAACGGAATTTAAGCACCACCCGCCCTCATCAGGACAGAAACGTAGGCAATGGTCTATCACCCGATGCGTTCACGTGCATGAAAAACTGCATTTGTGATGCTTTTCCAAATACTTCATAATCGATTAATCACTCATGACTTACAACAACGCTTCGATAACTGCAAAAAATTATAAGTAATAGGTGACAACTTAATGAAATGAGTAAATCAACTCCAGAAGAATAGCAGTGCAGAATTTGATGTATGCACAAGTGATTCTGAATATTTTTCACAGCTTATGGCGTTCTACAACGATTTGTACAAGAAGTGAAAAACATTATGACAGTGGCATGTTTGCATCGCAATAGCATATAACTCGATTAAAAAGATAAGGGGCGAACTTCACTGGGGTTTCTGAAGCAAAAGTGTTTCTCAATGACGATGCTTTCCATGTTAGGGAAAAGTCACACCGAACGGTTAAACTTTGATAGATTACTGAACGTCGCGATTACGGAAAAATTATGAAACAAACTGGCCAAATTAATTTAATAAAAGCGAATGAGACTATTCGTACAAATATAAACGAATTGGAAATGGCATAACGCCTCTTACCTGAAGCTTCCGTAAACGATGAGAAAAATTGCTATGAAAAATGTTGAAACTCTCGAGGTATCCAGCACCGCGGAAACCCTAAAAGCAACATGTAACGGTCTGACATTTTTCGATGTGATAATTATGCAAGTCGAAGCGACGTAAAAAATGTCTGCAACGAAAAACAAGACTGAAAGTAGATTAGAGTATTACACACAAGCCACTTACCATAGATACTTTTCACTGTTTTCCATCACGCTTTTGTCAGCTTGAACAGGATACTGACTCGGCTACCCTAAAATCAACAGGTCAATCAAACAAACAATCAGCAGTGCGACCATGTATCGCATGCGACTATTAAATAAATGTATCGCAATATTGCCGTTTCACGTTTCATCATTATATGAACTTGTTGTTTTCATGTTTTGCGTTATACATAATCGATATGAAGCTAATGGCGAAAAACCGAAAAAATCTCTATACGATTAAGTAAGAAATAAGCGAACGACAAAACGAAGCAACGCGACTGCCTTAATCATGGAAAGACCAATTATTCACTATCAGGGTTCAACAGATTAGAAAAAGCCATCGATGAGAATCTAATTTCAGACGACACAAGTATTTCGCATGTACAACTTAATAGTATGCCAAATGAGGAGGAGTTTTATGTTAATATTTACGTCTTACACTTTGCGCGGATTATTCGTTCAGCTATCAGGCTAATCGAAGGAAATCGTAGTGGCCGTAAGGCGCGTGCATCACAACGCACTGCCGTACGTCTCGCAAGTTTTCGCATGACTTCTCTATGCATCTACCCTTTCTCGGGTAGTATGGACAACAAAGGTCGTGAAATGACTTAGATTAGGCGTCTACGTGCAGCAGGGATATTTATATTTGTGGCTTCCACTATGGCTGGATGGATGGAACAGATGTCTGTTGTGAACGACCATTTAGTACATTCCGTAAGAATACGTTAAACTGCCTGATCAAATATACAACAGTTACAAGCTAGTCACTGCTATATTTTTCACTTGTACAATAGGTGCACTCACGTCGTCCATGTAGCGTGTGAATGTGGTTCAGGGAAATTTCACCTTTATCAAGTTTTTTTGGCATTCAGGTACAAAACAAGTATTTGTTTAACAGACTGAAGTCCAACGACATTTGGCGCAGCTCAATTCTGTTCACCATATCTACATGGATTACATAAGAAGATATGAATAACTCATCGCAACGATATCAAAGAGATTTCAATTCCTTACACAACAAATTAAAAGTCGCTCTGCCTATCAACAACTCAAGGCGAAATTCTATGTGAATCGATTGATGACTGTCCATGTGAACGATAAACATGTTAATTATTCTCGTAAACTTGTAAGGTATACAGTTTTAATCTGACTCGTGTCTTAGCTTTTGTACTGCGCTGTGCATCTATGTTCAGCCATGGCGTACGACTGAAAAACGGTTAGTATAAAAAACGGCCGAGACAGTGTCTGAATAAGAGAAGAATGCCACGGTCGATGCAGAGGAGTAAGGAACAGTGAGAAATAGACTAGAATTGCCTTAAGATGACATGGGAAACAAATCAATACGTGTAATCACGGCAACAAACCCCAAAGCACAATAGATGGCGATACTGAAAACGACGATGACAACGGTAACATTGACGTAAGTGACAGAGATAATGATAGCCCTGTTTGACAGGATGCAGACGAACTGTGCACAGGATGATGAAGGTGATCTTTGGGAAGCAAGAGGACCAACCAACCCAACCAACAAGGCGACGACAACAGCTTACAAAAGCCTGAGATAAAGATGAATGCGACGGTCCAAAAACATGACAAACATAATAGGTATATGATCACACAACAATATATCCCATCATGGTGTTGGCGTCGAGGAGTAGGAGGAAGCGGTGATGATTCACATGAACGCTACACACTAGTACTGCCAGTTAGCGCCAACTTTGAATGACTAACTAATAGCGCCAACTTTGAATAACCAACTAATAGCAACTTTGAAAATGAACAAGACTCTAAACGCATCAGGCATCACCGACGACGTTACTGTCGATCAAGAAAAGCATAATGACAGTAACAGCGATACTGGCATCGACGACGATCATGACTCACATGGTGTTATGTGCAGGCAGACGTCCAAGACGACAGCATTCGTGCTGGTTTCGCAACCAAACTGAAAATAGTA